TTAGTCATATTTTAAATATACAATGGCCAGTTTGGGTCAAATCAAAAACCCAATTAAAACAATAAAAACGCAGGCGTTCTCTGACCCACTGTGGGGGGTTTAACACGGCCCTTTCGGTGGCTGAGTTTGACACCTGCTCTCGTGTTAAAGGCATATTTTCATCATATGACACACAGAATCTCACCATCTCAGAGAAACAAGGCGCTCAGTCAAAGGTTTCTCCTCCATGTTTAGCATCTCCAGTGGTGAATCTTCTGTTTCTTCCTGTTTCTTTACTGTCAGAACCGCCGAATAAGGATTATTTCACCAAAGCTGGACGAACCTCAGTGAACAGTCGGCCTCGTTTACAGGACAGAGCTTCTCTACAGAGAGATCAGCTGGTCAGGTCCTCAGATAGAGCCACTGTTAAAGATGCGTGTTCATTCATTCTGGTCCAGCTGGTGTCCAGCGCAGTGCCAACATGGATCACCTTAATGAAGCAGAGCTGCCGTCCGTCAGACTGAGCTCCTCTCCAGACTCAGCCTGTAACTAATGAGGGTTAATCTGAGCGTCTCTTTAAAGCCAAACTGGCTTAATAAACAAATGTAGCTGTGAATGATGTTCAGGCGTTTCCTCGTTATTTAATAGTTCTCTTCTAAAACTCTAAGGAGATCCCAAAATATGTCCCCCCAAAGCCTCCTATATCCACACACAGCAGAGATGCATCATGGGGAACCCATCCTCTCCAAACAGGGAGGAGAAGAGCACCTGTGTTTACCTCTGGACCTGATCTCTGCACTGTAAAACACAAAATCACATTAAAATCAATGTCATTTATTACACACTGCTGTTTATTTCACCAGCAGTGACTGCTTAGTTTAGTCAGAGGTTCTCCTGTTAATGCGTTCTTTCACAGCCCCGTGGGTTCTAGATATTAACTGAGAGTGTGGAACCCCACAGTGCTGTGTGATTATGTTGGTACTTATATGATGGATAAAGACTGTAGATGAATAACGTACAGAATCTTAAACAGTCTGTTTATTATCTATACACTAAACTGGATCTGGGCTGTAAATGAAAGCAGTGGTTCTTACTGTGGTTCTGCTGGGTTCTTACTGTTTAATTCACAAAACTGTCTTTGTATTTTGTTCTTGATTTTACCTGATTGGTTAAATAACTGACTCACTACTTGTAGGAGTTTCTGATTTGTTTTCTTGCTTAAATGTAGAACATGACTGAAATTTAGCGAGAGTGTTTTCTTTTAGAGTGTTTTACTAGATATATCACTATGAACATGATCAGTTTAATATCTAGAACCTGAAGTACTTTGGAGGTTGCACCTCACACTTAGTGGTTAATACCTAGAACTTAAAAGACTTTTAAAGAAAGCAGTTTCTTTTAGTTCTGCATTTCGCTTCGGTAAACAAATAGAATATGTTTTTGAATTTGTACTCAATATGAACCATTTCCACCACAAAATCCACATCACTGTTCAAACCCATGATCTGATGATGATCTTGTTGCAGGAGCTCCTGATGTTCCTCAGATTTGTGCCTCCATAAATGTTTAATAACTGAAAAATGTGTTAAGTAATTAAAATTGTTTTAAGTGATTTTATTAAGCGTAATTATCTCTGTTGGCTGAGCTGAATGTTTTAATTCAGGATATTAAAACTCTGCTTTTCCCTCGACTAACCTGAAATATGTAAATCAGAGGCTCTTCTACCACTTCATCCTCTTTGTTGTGGAACAGAGCATGTATGTCCACATGTAGCACAGCATCTCTCTTCACTGCCCTCCTGCTCAGTGGGTTGGGGGTCTCAGGGGGTCTGATGGATGCTGTGGTATGAACATTTACAGTGACAGCAGTGATAAAGCAGATCACACTGTTTTAATAAACCTGTCTTTCATTTTTTAATGCTCAAAATATCTTCTGTGAATTTCCTGCTGTATCTGATGTTAATATGGTCGAAATCATCACTGAAACTCGAGTCAGTAGATTTTCTGATTTTCTGATCTGTATAAAAAACTATAATATCCTCATATTTATCAGCCAGATTGAACTGACAAAACTCTGAATCAGCGCTCGTTTTGATGGGGTTTGAAAGCAGCTGCACAGCTGAACTTTGGGGTTTCGGTTGTGCTACTTTTAAACTTCAGAATTCTCAGACGCTGCCTGAACTCGTGGTGCTCAATGTGATCTGATGTTAATAGAAGATGAAAGTAGGATTCTTTGCCTTATTTGGTTAGGAAAGGTATTATTGTGCATAGAGACAGAATATTTGATGATTATACCACATTTAAAAGCTGAATTATTTACATACTGTCTTAGATCTACGTTATTTAGGGTGAACTACATATTTTTGCTTATTTGAAAATCTTTCTTGGTAAAATTTTATCCCATTGGCAGATTTTCTTGTGCTTTTCATGAGGCAAGAATACATCTAATTTCCACTTTCTGCAGTTTTCTCTAGCGTTTTAATGACTGTTTTGAATGTTATGTCTTTATAACTGATGTTATACATTAACATAAAAAGTTAGGTTAGCGTTAGATGCTAATGAGTGGAGGTCTTTGAGAACATCAACTTATTTGAGACATAACAATAACAAGTAAACAACCTGCTTACATTTTAATCCATTGAAGTAGGTTTTGTATTGGTGCCCATTACGGTTTTAAGATCCTAATTATTACACCTCTATTTATGATCATGTGAAGATCAGTTTATGGAGATTCAGGCCAGTTTGAGGAAGGACGAAAGAAAATACTGGCCAGAAGCTTCTGACCAGTGTTTATGCCCAGAGAAACTGTGTTTGTGCAGTGTAGAAAGAAGACTGTCCGGTCAGGACCGGGTCACCTCTGGATCAGTCTACCGGTCACTGATCATCATTAGTCATCATTAGACTGTTCTCCAGACACAGGAGAACAGTGGTAGAACAGCAGCTGCGGAGCTGGAGAACGTGGCTGAAGTGGGTGGCTGAAGTTAACTGGTTGTGGCAGTGTAGAGTCTTCGTTATGGTACTGACAGTCTCATTACAGCCCACCGTACCTGCCCCAGCAGGGGGTCCACAGAGCTTTCTAGAGCCGCAGCAGAACTAATGTGATCTCGCACCGCGACTCTTTGAATGCTTTGCTGGATTGGAGGCTGAGCAGAGTGGAGGCCAGGTGAACTCTGGGAGTTTGGCCAGGCTGGTCTGAGTCTCTCTCAGAGCTTTGCCTATTGATTTGACTACTGTGGAGGGGGCAGGGGTGAGAGGTGAGGACCCCGGGGGTGGGGGGGGGGTGGGGGGGGCTGGGGGGTTGTAGAGGGGAGACCACTCAAACACTCAGTTACCCTCATTTATCTTCAGCTATTCAGACAGTGGGTGAAAAACACTGAGGCACTGACTCTGAGATCTGAGCTGCAGTGAAAGAGACCCAATCACAACAGCACCAAACAGTCCAGCTGCTCATCGTCCACTTACCACAGATCTGACTGGCTGAGTCTGTCCATCACAGCCTGATATCATCATACTGAGACACTAAATCACCACATGCAGCCATTAATGTGGGTATAAAATAAACGATGAATTCAAAGAGGATCTGCAGATTATAGAGTTTAACACAGTAATGAACCACAAACAGGAGAGAAACTGCACTGAATGTTCTTCATTCAAATACGTCCAACTTTTCCTTTCGTCCTGTACTGTAATATTTTATTATGTGGAAAAGGATAAACACATTTAAATCAAGTACATTTACTGTAACGTTTTGCAAGAATGAAAAATGTATCAAAATGTAAAAAAATAACTTAAAAATTATTATTAAATTATTATATATATATGCTATTTAAAAGTATTAGTGGACTGAGTTGATAAGCCTGAGTAATTAAAAAAAAATAATTGAAAAGTAAATTTTGCATACATTATTTATTAAAAAGTTGAAAAAGTTTGTCTAACTCAATTAATAAAAAGTAAGAATCAATTTGTCATGAAGACCATAATACACTGAAATGACGTTAAACTAAGACGATACAGTGATTCCCATATTTGTAACTGAGAAAATTCTCACATTTGTGGGTTTCTTTGGTCTGTTTTTTTTAATGGTCATGGAGTATTATGGTAAACTGGGAGTGTTGGTGCCGTCGTCCCGCTGCGTTCACTCAAGCTCGTTACAGAACTGACTCTCTGTGTGTTTCCTTTACTTTGCCGAGTTGATCAGCTGCCCATCCTGTGCGTCTGATGCTGTTGCCTCTTCTGCCTTGATCAGGTGCCACTGCTCCCCAACCTTCTGGACCCGCTTGACCAACATTGAGCTTCACGCTGTACAGCGCTGTGCAAACCTCACCCTCATGAACTGACCCTCCTGCTGAGTTCCCCAACAGGAACTTAAACAAAGAAAGAGTGTGGAACAGATGAGTCACAAAGTTTTAAGAGTCTTTATTTCCTGTACAAAGTTAGTAAAAAGTTACCATAAAAAATGTGACGACAAAAATCAGCCACAGTTTTAGTGCAGAAAGGTTTTAGATGAAGACCAGTGGAGGACGTCTGTCCTACTGACCTTCACAACACGACAACAAAACACTGTTCACCCTTTAACTGAACATGTAGAACCACACCGTCTTTGAATGATAATAACTTTCTGATACTACAGAAACTGATTGTTTTGTGTTCTTGTGTGGAACTTCACTGTAGAACCTCAGCAGAACCTACATCTTACAATCTTGACTGAACACCAACACAACCTTTTTCCAGTGAAAATAGAAGATTTTGCACACTATTTTTATTTTATTTTGACAGATTTGTTGTGTGCGGTTCTTTAAAGAACCTCAAAAATAGTTCTATATAGTACAAAAAATGTTTCGCTATTGTTACAAGTAAAAGAACCTTTATTTTGTACTTTATAGAACCTTAATTGCTAAGAGTATGTTTGAGATATAGGTAGTCACTGTTAAAGTCTCTCAGGGTTCCGAGTGTCTCTGGACATGTTCTGTTTTATCCTCAGGGCCGGTTCCGGTGTGCAGATCATTACGAGTCTCTGTGGTTTCACCACGGCCTCCACACGGCGGTTCCTGAGGGTTCCTGAGCTGAGGGGGTTATTAAAGTGGGGGCTCGCCCGGGATCACCTGGCTGGACTCTCCTGTTCAGTTTATCTGTGTCCAGTGCTGGAAGGATCAGCCGTATTTTGGGAGGCGTGTTAGTCTGTGTGATTGGCAGTGCATGTTGTGGGGGAGGAGTCATCATCACACACCCGGCCAGGTGTGCCAGCAGCCGCGTCCGGAGCTCACAGCTCGCTCCTTCACAGCTGGACATGAAGCGAGTGACCTCAGTCATGCAGGCGCTGAAGCCGGCGCTGTACCTGCCCAGCGCTCGCTGCTGCAGCGTGAGGGACACTGCGGGGGACAGGTAGGAAACACAGGTGAGAAACAGTGACAGGTAGGAAACAAACACACCGAGGCTTTGATCGCCCAGCAGGTGAACGTGGCCCGAATCTGGTCTTTTTCCCTGTGACAGGTGTGTCTCTGTGTGTCCATGTGATCAGACAAACACACTGAATCTGACTTTGTCAGCTCTGATTTGGGACACTTTGATATCTGTCACTGAAATCCGATACGTGTCCTGCTGTCAGCTCAGGACTCAGTGCCTCCTGTGATGCTGAAGCTGAAACCTGTTGCTGCTGCCTCTGTTCTGATTGCTGACCTCTGTTCTGATTGCTGACCGCTGGATGAGCCGCGTGATGCTCTGTTCTTTTGGGTATGTGGGTCAGTTTAGGAGCTGATCTGTCCACACCGACGTCACACAAACACCACATTTAAACAGCTGACAAAAATATCAGATTTGGGCCACTTTCAGCTGCTGTGTGACCGAAGCCCAAGTGTCTCTGTTTGTTGAGTCTCTGTGAAGTGAAGGTGGACGATGTGACAAAAACAGAACATCTGGATACCTGATTAACTTTAACAATGAGCATCACAGTGTTCAGAGTTCCTGATGGGGCTAAATGGGTTACAGTGCGTGAGCAGGATTTGAACAGGATCATGAAATTGACTGTTTGAAAAGGAACACAAGATCTAACGTTTGATAAAATATCTGTTTACAAAATAAAAAAAGAAATGAAAATATGTACCGTGCAAAATTACAGGCACCCAAAAACACAATCTAAAACGTTTTAATTGGTCAATGAGCGATACATTACTTAATAATGTGTAATGTGTAAGAATAATACAGTAGGTAGTGATTTAATGTCTTTTCCAAATCTCTCCTGAAGGAAGTCCAGTATTTACAGTTATCATCCAACACCTGCTTCACCTAATCAGTATTAAATGAAAGCTGCTGATGGGCTTTAATAAATCCATGTGATGCTGGAGGAGAAATCTGTGCTCTTCAGATCAGCTCAGCTCCTTTTAACCTACCTGTGTTTGTTTATTTGTCTGTGCTCTACACTGTAAAATGAGTTTCTCAGTTAAACCTAAAAATACTCCACCTGGTAACAGTGAGCTGTTTTAGTTAACCACAGATAATTACTTTGAATTAACGATTATTCAAATCAGAGTAATTTGGTGAGAAAAAGAATTTAATTGCCTGTTAGTAACTGAAGTCGTTCTTTAGGTAGAACTAAAGAAACACTTTTTACAGCCAGATCTACCTAAAAATGACAATGTGGCAACAAGTACATTAACTAGTTTAATTCAACTAAATACATACTTTAAATGAACGATTCTTTCAATCAGCAATAATAATAATAATAATAATAATAACGATAATAATAATAATAATAATAATAATACACTGTAAAAATATATCAATTCAAACTAACAAACAACTGAACAGTTTTATTCAACTCAAAAACTCAAACAGATTCAAAGACTCGTTTATTTTGTTTATTTATGTTGAATTAAACTGGTTAATTTACTTCTCACCACATTTTACAGTGTAATAATGCAGAGTGATGTCATTTGCGTGTATTTCTGGCTGTTAATGATTTATAGGTTATGAATTGAATCATTGATCCATTTATTGAAATCCAGTCATATTTTAATAAATGTAATAAACACAGTGGATTAATTTTAAGGAGGTTTGGATGTTTCTATGTAAGACACAGACTTTTGATATGACACCACTTCTGGTTCCTTAAAGAACCTTTTGGTGAATGGTTCTTCAGAGAACTTTTTACAGATCCAGATATGTGAATGTGAAGAACCTTTTAAAGTGTGAAGAACCTCAACATGATTTAAAGGGTGAAGAAAGATCTGAACTATCTGAACTCTCTTCTCATGGTCTGATCTCTTTATCAGACATAGTGAACCCTCTACTGCATGACGTTGCAACAAACCCATTTTCCTCACTTTACACTAACAACACACATGTTTAACGACAAAGACAGGGTGAGTAATAAAGGGAAGAGTCCAGTCAGTCAGTGAAAGCGTGTGTTTGGTCATGATGTCTCTTAGTGGCCACCTTTAAACCTCTAAACATTCAATATCAGTTTTTTTTATGAGAATTTACAGAAGTGTTTGTTGCCTTGAAGCAACACTGTCGGTCAGTGGAATGGATTCAGCCAGTCACACGCCAGATCGTCAGGAAACACGACCTTATATCATTTCTGCCCGCTGTCGCACGATGTTGCCTCAGGGCAACAGACCCCAAACGGACCCCCGCCCACATTACTGTTTAATAATGTTCTGAGTTTAATAATCAGGTCGAGGAAAGAGAACCGGATATTGGTAACTGCTCTCCTAATGAGTGCAGTAGAGGGGTAAAATATATGAATATTAAAAATAAAAACTGTCTTCGCCTCAGAAAGCGCTCCTTATTATAAACATAAAAGGAAAGATGTTCTTCTATGACGTGTGTTCTAGAGTCTTCACACCGGTTTACGGCCTGATACAGAATCAGCGGATCAGCTGCAGCTCTCATTCTGATTTAATACTGAGTTATGATTTATTTCCTTTTTTATTTTCTATTTTTTAAATTATTTTCTGGATTATTTTCTGATTTATTTTCTTTTTTTTAATTATTTTCTGGATTATGTTCTGGATTATTTTCTGATTATATTCTTTTTTTAAATTATTTCTGGATTATTTTCTGATTTATTTTCTTTTTTTAATTATTTTCTGGATTATTTTCTGGATTATTTTCTGATTTATTTTCTTTTTTTTAAATTATTTTCTGGATTATTTTCTGATTTATTTTCTTTTTTTAATTATTTTCTGGATTATTTTCTGATTATTTCTGATTATTTTCTTTTTTTAATTATTTTCTGGATTATTTTCTGATTTATTTTCTTTTTTTAATTATTTTCTGTGTTATTTTCTGGATTATTTTCTGATTTATTTTCTTTTTTTTAAATTATTTTCTGATTTATTTTCTGATTTATTTTCTGAATTATTTTCTGATTTATTTTCTGAATTATTTTCTTTTGTGTGTTTTTGTTTTGGACTCACCTGCCGCCTGCGCGCGCTGCACGCTCCTCAGGTGCTTCACCGTCATCTCCAGGATTTCAGCCTTCTCCAGCTTAGAGTGCCGCGAGACCTGCACACAACACACGCACGCACGCGCAGATGAGCCTGATTCAGCTCTCATCTCCAACAACCAACAACGCCATTAATCAGTACTGTGACCTGCTCTCACTCACGTCCGCGTGCAGCGCGTGCAGGATGAGCGCCTTCAGCTGCACGAGGCTCTGATTGATGCGCGCGCGCCTCCTCTTCTCCATAGCGGGCTTGGAGGACTTCGATAAGAAACAGTGATAAATAAATCATAACAAACTCCGATCAGTGATCAATCACCACACAGATAATCGATCAGTCATTAATCTACCTTTCGGAGCTCCGCGCTGGGCTTCTGTGATGACGCGCTCACGCACGCGCTGAGCGTCTGGCGCACCGGCGCGTTGTCAGGCATCCTCGAGCTGTTAGTGATGTTACTGATATCTGATCTTCAGGGCGAGCGCTTCTCCCATTTAAACCCTCGCGACAGAGGCGCGCGCTCCTCACGCGACCCATTTAGCGCGCGAGCGCCACGCTCAACGCTCCTCCCGCCTCGACCGTCCGCCAATCAGCGTGGAGAAGACCCTACTGACGGCGCGTGGGTTGAAGCGCGCGCGCCATTGGCTGCTTCTGGAGGACTCGTTTTTTTTTCTACACCCGTTTTAGAGCAAAAGTCCCGCCCATCTGCGCAGGAGGCGGGGCCAGCCGGAATACGGTGAGAAAAACACTTTCATACGAGTACGCATGCGTACAACAAATAGCAGCTGTGAAAATGAAGAGAATGTTAAAAATTAAAAACCTAAAAACACAACATTAATAAACCATTCAAACAAAATAAAGAACAGCGAAAAAAAGCTACAGTGAAGTAATAAACCAGGAATCAGTGACTAATAATAACTTATATCTAGAACATTAAGGAACATATCATTCATAATTAAAGGGCAGTAGATTTAAATTAAAGACTGGCCGTCTGGACACACCAGCAGCTCCTGGACGTTTAAGAGGCCAATGATCTTCTACCTGCTAAGGCTGCAGCTCCAGCTGGAGGTTCTTATAAAGAACCCTGAGTATCTGGAATTCACAGCTTTGAGTCTGAGAGTCTGACTGACGCTCTGCTTCACACTGAAGCGCTAAGGTTCCTCATGAAGAGCAGCTCATATCCCATCAAATACATACATAAATAAATAAACAAATAAATAAATATCAGGCAGGCATTAATTACAGATTATTAATTAATTAAAGTCTTTTACAAACAAACAGCATTAATCTGAGTTATTCTAATATAATTACACTCATTTTTCTACCCTCCCAGGCTGAAGGAGGTTCAGCTCACTCCTCCTTTGCTCCTCCCAATTTTGATCACCTTTGCAGAATTTGGGAACCTTTAATTCTCTAATTTCATGCTTCTTTTATCTAAATGTCCTGATTTGCATATTAATTTTTACTACATCCAGCTGTGCCTGAAAGAAGAGCCTTACTGAGCTGCATACACAGCTATAAACAGAGGTTTCTTTATAAAAGGTACAGAAATTAATAAAGATATAAAAAAATCCTCCACAGACTCAAAAACCTCTGCAGATCACAGATAGTTTGGTACAGCATTCATTCAGAACATTTCTCTATAGTATTTTGGGGATGATCACTTTACAGATCAGTGATAAGTGGGTAATAATGTGATGATATAGTGGTAAAAAGTTGTACTAACCAGATTTTACAATCTCAGTTTTAGATTATTAATAAATAATGAGTTAATAACTGTAACAGTAACAAGTTTATGTGCTGATTTTTTGCAGATTTTGTAGCTGCTGATAAATACCCAGCTAAGACAAATAAAAATAATCACTCTGTGTGAAGAGAAACGTGGTGCGGTCTGAGTTTTGAACTCATTTCTGAACATGTTCTCTGTGCTTTATAACTTATATATAGCTTATATATAGCTTTACAGTAAAGGAAGATGTGCTGATGTTTCCAGCTGTGATCTCAGTGTATTTTACTGATCACTGTCAGTAGGTGGAGCTGCATAAACTCATAGAACAGCCATCAGTGATTATAATTCAGGGCAGTTTGTGTTTATGAAGAACTTCTGTTTGCACCTGATTTGAGCTGCAGGAGCTGAGAAACAGAATGGAGGAGGTTATATTAAAAGCATAAGAGGTAGGAAGTTCAGTAGAAATGAGAGAGTTAGTGTTTTAATCCCACCTCACTGCAGCAGAACCGCTACACTGCGCTACCCTGTGAAACCCTGTGAGGCTTTAAAAGGACTGTGGTATTAATTAGACATCATACTGTAAGAGATCAACATCTCATCACCATAAATATGAAAAAGATACCTTTGAATGAAGTTTGTAAACATTATTTTTCCATCTGATTACTGAACAGTTACCACGGCAACTGTAACATGCTGTTAACCAGCAGCTAGAACATGGTCGTGTAATTTTCAGGCTGGTTTGACTTGTTATGATAATATTAGCTTATCATTAACCACTTGTCTGTAAAGTGCTACCAATAAATGATTAGGTAGTGGGAACCTAATAATAAGGCTAATTTAGCAGGAATTACACATGGGGTCATTTTCAAACCGACCTCATATGGACACAAACATTTCCATCTGGAGGATTTTTATGAAAAGTGTTTTCACTCTTCTAAAGGTTTGCTGATGTAGAAACGGACATCAGAGATAATGTTTTACGTAGTTTAGAGGAATATTGTTTATCGATACATGAACCGTCTCAAATATCCAAGTTGGAAATGTTTTTTTCTGGGAATAATAACAGATTTACACGTTCATTGAGGTTCCTGTGACGGATTCATCTCAACCAAACCAAACAAGCCCACACGGTGTGGAGGAGACGAGTGTGTTCATTAAAGACTGAGACGGACGTCAGCGAGGACGGGAGGTGGGTGTAGACTCTTATGGACATAAATAAATGTAATAAATTTATTTTCAAAATGTCATAACAAAAATTTGATGCCTTTATAAAACCGTGGAACCTCTCTGGTTTTGAGGGAGAACCGAAATCACCATGACAAATTAATCAGGTTCTCATTGTTCATTAGAACAAGTTTTCTCAGCAGGTCAAAGCCAAAGTCTGTGGAGAACGTCCTCCTCCTTCAGAGGGTCTTACTCCCTCTGAACATCCTCCTCCCTCTGAGCGTCCACCTCCTTCTGAGCGTCCTCCTCCCTCTGAACCTCCTCCTCCCTCTGAGCCTCCTCCTCCCTCTGCACTCGAACCCTCTCCTGACTCTCCTTCAGGACAGAACAATATGTCCATTCTTCCTCGAGCCATTTTCCCATGTCAGGATGTGATCAGGGAGCGTTTGGTGGGAGAACATCGTATTAGAGTCCTTCACTCTGACAGACGGCCTTTCTGCCCCAACCTCTGCTCACCAAAACAAACTGCCCCCAGAACAACAAGGGGGGCAGGAGGAGTCTGGGACACCCTGAGGAGACACTACTGGACCTTCTACGTTCACAGACACAGACACTTCTTCAGACGAGTCCACCAGGTACACTATTAACATAAAGTTCCTCAAAGGTTCCTGGCTCAGACGCACGGTTCCTGATAGAAAACCTCTGGGTTATATTTAGATTCTCCCTAGTTTATTATATTCACACTCACATCTCTCACAAAACCGGCTCTTTGATCCTCAAAATCTCAGGCTTATTACAGACTGAGGCTTATTATTCAGTAACTACAGGGACTTCAGTGCAAACGGGTGATATTCTTTATTAGAATATCAAGTTCACATATAAATCACTTCTTTCTAAAATGGTGATCTTATAGGAAATAACGTTCTTCACTTTAATGTGCGTTAATGTAGTACGTTTATTATTGTTATTTTGGAGGATTTCCATTGGTCTATTGGTCTAAATGCTTACCCAATGTAATGAGCAGGTTCACAAATTTTGATCGAAAAATGATGATATTTGAGCTGATATTTATTGATTTGGTTTCAGAGTTTCAGATTTTGTTTTATGACACTCTCAGAAATAAAGGTACTAGACTGTCACTGGGTCAGTTCCCCTCCTGTCACTGGGGTGGAACCCTCGCGGGTCCATCTCAGTACCTTTAGTCAGGGAACATAACTGAACCATAATCCACTGAAATGATATGTTCTAAGCTGTACTGACTCCACACACCCCGTCTCGTCTCCAGGCTTTTATTTTACTGTTCTGTTTAAAACATTCGGTTATGAAAAGGTACAAATACAAACTTTTCACCTGGAAACACTTATTTAAGGTTCACAATCAGACCTTAAAACCGCTGTTGGAGCTTTGAGGGAACATTTACACTGTTTGTACCTTGATGAAGGATAAATGTTCCTGAACAGAACCTTTATTTCTAACAGTGCACTATACAGTAGAGATGCTCTTGATAAGAGCTTAAGTCTTCACAGACATACATAATAATTCATAAAACCTCCACATATTTCTGTGTTAAACCTTCTGGACACTCTAAGTATCACTAACACTCATTTACAACCTCACCCAGTTCCACAGAGGTGGTGAATTTTCACACAGGACCATGCAGGAACCCATACTGACCCCTGTTCTCCACCCATTGTCTCCAGCAGAGATCTTTAAAGAGGAGAGGAAGAGGCGTGGCCCATTTTGACGTGCAGTTCCGATCCCCATTGTCAGTTTTAGATTGATGAGGTGAGATTCGCCCCTCGCCCTGCTGGAGGGTCTACAGAGCGTTTCCAGACGGAGTTCACGTCCCAGGCCCGGAGGTTAAGGCCAGAGCGGAGGGCCGGGTCAGGCTTCACTTTCACATTCAGCGCTGAGCTCGACGGGAGGCTCTCTAAAGCAGAGTGGAAGACCACAATGAAAACACATGACCACTTTCAGTAAGTGCAGAATACATTTACCACTCAGACCAACCAGGCACAAACTACAGCGCTAACACGGCTCACATACGTCTGTTAAAGTGTGCTGATCCCCGAAATCTCAGAGCCCAACGTCAGAAGACCATTTCCCAAAGTCAGTTAAAGCTTTATTAAATGGTGTTTGATGGGGACTGAGATGTTTGAGGGGGTCTACAGATGTCTAAATGGTCTACTGGGGTCTGACGGTGCGGGATATGTAGATCTGATGGTGTCTGATAGTGCTGGATGGGGTCTAATGATCAGATCTCATGGGGTCTGTGTTGGATGGGGTCTGATGATCAGATCTGATGGGCTCTGATGGTGTTGGATGGGGTCTGATGTTCAGATCTGATGGGATCTGATGGTGTTGGATGGGGTCTAATCAGATCTGATGGGATCTGATGGTGTTGGATGGGGTCTAATCAGATCTGATGGGGTCTGATAGTGTTGGATGGGGTCTGATAATGTTGGAAGGGGTCTGATGATCAGATCTGATGGGGTCTGATAGTGTTTGATGGGGTCTGATGATCAGATCTGATGGGGTCAGAT